CAGGGGTCACTGCCGGAGCTCCCTGTGGCTCTTCAGTGGTACTTGCGGGCCAGGGCATGAGCCACCACGCGCACCAGCTTCTGCCAGGCCGCCTGGCAGTCGGGGGAGAAGTCCTTGCCGAAGTGGGCAGCCAGGACGATGATCAGGATGTCACCCAGCAGCTGGGGGAGAGAGCAGCCCCAGGTTAGCAGTGCCCAACACATCCCCACAGCAGGACCCACATCACACCCAGGGAAGCCTCCAGGAATCTGGAGCCTTCAAAGTCTCCCCAAAGTCCTTTTTAAGGTGTGCCAAACTTGGTCTCTGCTTCTACTCTAAAGGTTCAGGTTCTGCTGCAAGAGTAACTGGGAATTCTCCAGAAATGTTGTTGATTGAGTTTCTCCCTTCTGGCTCATTCAGGAGTTTCCCCTGAGCAGAAGCCCCAGCTGAGCCCTAGGGCAGCAGGGAGCCAGTGCTGGGCTCCACAGAGTGCCCTGGATGGACAGCAAGCTCATGCTGACGCAGGGAGAGCTCTGCCAGCCCCAGGGACAAACGCCGGGGTTAATTCCCCACTGGGAAACTCTCAGCTGCAGACATGCAGCAGCCAAAGTTTTCTCTCTCTAGATCCTCTTTTCCTTCCGGCATGCAGCCCCCACCTCCCGCTCCTCACCCATCTCCCTGTTCTCCACGCCAAGATTTGCTCTTGCTCCTTCGCTTCCCCCGGCTCAAACCTCTTCCTGCTCAACAGATGCTTTTGCTTCGCTCTCCCTTCCTGCACTGAAACCACCTCCTCACTACCTTCCTGTCCCCCTGCACCCTCCAGACAGCCCCTGTGTAACCATCACCTCTCAGCCCCTTTGGTGCCTTCTCACCAGGCTGGTCCCTTCCCTCTCTGCCCCTCTGCCTATCTCCCCTATACCACCAGCCTCTCCTGCTCCTGCACCACCACCTCTGGGGTAAATCCCTCTCACAGTGGAGACCAGGATGAGGGGAGACCCTGCGACGGGGAGGAAGGAAGGATCCCTGGTGAGGAACACAGCTCACCCTGAAGTTTTCGGGGTCGACGTGCAGCTTGTCGCAGTGCAGCTCAGACAGCTGGGCAAAGGTGTTCTTGATGCTGTCCAGGTTCTTGACAGCATCCCCGAAGGAGGTGAGCACTTTCTTGCCGTGAGCACGGACCATGGGGTTGCCAAGGATGGCAGTGGGGCTGGACAGGTTCCCAAAGGAGGCAAAGAACCTCTGGGTCCAGGGGTAGACGATCAGCAGCCTGGGGAGAGACAGACATACAGTCAGGTCAGCGCTCCTGTGGTCGATTTCTCCGTGCAGGTGCAGCTGAGCAGGCGTGTGGGAGCAGCAGGACCTACCTGGCCAGGGCCTCAGCGCCGCAGTCGGCGACGTTGACCTTGCCCCAGAGGCCGGTGATGAGCTGCTTCTCTTCGGCTGTCCACTGCACCATGGTGAGGGCTGAGGGTCGCGGCAGGTACCGATGGGTCTGGGCTCTGCTCCCGAGGGATCACACGCTGGTGACAGCCTCTTCCCCTGCCCTCTTTTATACCCTGCCCCGGGCCCCTCCTCCTCCCTGGGCACCCCTTCATTGGCTGCGCCCGGGCCCCCCCGGCCTGGCACCCAAGGGAGGGGACCCGACACCAGGGTGGGGCCGCAGGGCAAGGTGCCCAGATCCACCGCCAGCCACGCCGGACGCAGCACTGCCCCCTGCTCTCTGATTTCCAGCCCTGCTAAGGGTGGCACTGCCTCCACCCAAAGGCCAAGTACAGCACCATGTGAGTCCCCCAAGGCTTGGTGCCGCTTGGCAGAAGATTTGGACTTGTGGCTGTCCTGTTCTCCCTGTGAATGCACCAACACGTGCGAGTGGTTTCCCTTTCTCCTCTCTTTGACAGGCTTTGGGTTCTCCCTGTCCTTTCCCATCAGCTCTTCATCTCTACCCAAAGCCCAAGCACAGCACCATGTGAGTCCCCCAAGGCTTGGTGCCCCTTGGCAGAAAACTTGGGCTTGGGGCTGTTGGGTTCTCCCTCTACACCAGCACATGCAAGTGGTTTCTCTTTCTGCTCTCCCTGCGAGGCTTTGGGCTCTCCCTGTTCTTTTCCATCAGCTCTTTATCTCTACCCAAAGCCCAAGCACAGCACCATGTGAGTCCTGTAGCACCCCAAGTCTTGGTGCCCCTTGGCAGAAGACTCAGACTTGGGGCTGTCATGTTCTCCCTCTGAATGCACCGGCGGCTGTGAGTGGTTTCTCTTTCTGCTCTCCTTGTCAGACTTTGGGTTCACCCTGTTCTTTCCCATCAGCTCTTTAAGACTCTCATAACTTTAGGGTGACACTAATAAAACCATGGCAGAGCCCTGAAGCCAAGAGAGCTCCTGTCTCCAAGAGCCTCTTGGCAAAGGTCAAGCAAGGCTGGAAGGGAAAGGTTCTAACGCAGGGCACACCAAGTGCCTGCAGGTGTTGGCTCACAGGGTCCCAGGGGAGGTGGGAAGACTGGATGTACTGGGATCCCACAGAATCACTGAGGTTGGAAAAGACCTCTGAGAACACCAAGTCCAACCTGTGACCCATCAGCACTTTTCAGCCAGCCCAGAGCTCTGAGTGCCTCGTCCTGAGTTCCTTGGATACCTCCAGGGGTGGTGACTCCACCACCTCCCTGGGCAGCACATCCCAGTGCCTAACAGCCTTTCCACGGAGAAATAAACATCTGCACAGATGTGCAGCAGGAAACAGTTATGGACCCAGGGATTTGGCAGCCAGAGAAGCAGCTGTCCCCCTGAGAGGTGGGAGAGGCAGTTGGGTCTCCTGGGGCTGCTCCTGTCCCAGCTGGTCCTTGGGGTCTGGATGACCATGGGCCAAAGGGTTTGTGTTGGCCATGAACTGCCACCATGTCTGATGGATGCTCCAGTTCTCCTCTTCCTCCTCACCATAGGAGGAGCTTGGCCAAAGCCCCTGGGGCCAGGCCTGGGGGGCAGTGTCCCCAGCCCTCCACACCCAGCAGTGCAGTGTTTCATGGACACATGGAATCGCAGGAGATTTGGATTGGAAGGACCTTAAAGCTCATCCAGTGCCACCCCTACCCTGGGCAGGGACACCTCCCACTAGCCCAGGCTGCTCCAAGCCCCATCCAGCCTGGCCTTGGTAGTTGTGTCTGTTATGTTCTGCCAGTTGCTAATGTCAAAATGAGAATGATTTAGGAAGGGAAGGTAGAAAAGAAAAGAAAAGAAAAGAAAAGAAAAGAAAAGAAAAGAAAAGAAAAGAAAAGAAAAGAAAAGAAAAGAAAAGAGAAAAAAGAAAAACCACAAACCCACCACATTTTCCCTCCTGTGAAGGTAACAATAAAGGCTCTAACCTCCTGTCATGGCTCTCATTGCACAGTTTTGCAGAGGTTTGTTCCTCTTGCCCCATGAAAGAATTCAGCCACTGAACCCAGTGACATTCCCTGATGTCTCCATGAAGCACGAGCGTTTCTGGCTGTGTTTTGTGGGGTTTACTGGGGTTTGTGCTGAGTGTTCCCATGGACTCTCCAGCTTAAATGTCTCACTTGCATCAACACATAGATGAGACCATGGCTCATGCTGCCTTGTGTGTGAGAACTTCTCCTTCCCCAGCCCCTTCCCTTCCCTTGCCCTTCCTTTACCCCTTTTCCTTGCCCTTCCCCTCCCCTGCCCCTTCCCTTCCCTTTTCCTTCCCCTCCCGTTCCCCATCCCTGTGCCCAGAGAGAGGCAGGCAGCTCGTGGCTGGAGCAGTAGGTGTTTATTTGGCAGACAGAGAGCAGCAGAACCAGGGCTGATCCCTGGGGTGTCTCTGGGCCATGGTGCTCATGAGGGCTCAGTGGTACTCGTGTGCCAGGGCATGAGCCACCACTCTCACCATCTTCTGCCAGGCAGCCTGGCAGGCTGGGGTGAAGTCCTTGCCGAAGTGGGCAGCCAGCACGATGATCAGGATGTCTCCTAGGAGCTGGAGGGAGGGAGGAGAAGCTGTGAGCCAGGTGCTGCCCACACCTCCCTCCCCACTGTCACCTCCTAGGTATTCACACAGTTATTGGGAGCTTCATCCCAAATCCTGGCCCCAGGCACAGCTCCTGTCCCTGAGGGTGCTGGATCCTCCCCCCAGCACCTTCCCTTGCCTGCAGTGCAGCATCCTCCCTCTGCTTCCACTGGGTTTATCCTTTCTCTCCCATCCCTACCCACCCTGGTATTGTCCCAGGGCTCAGATCCCTCCAGGTGTGTTTGTTTCCCTCCTGGTTTGGCCACCCCATTGCAGCCAAGCTCAGTCCAAACCCTGTCTGCATCTTCCCTTCTGGCCTGTGGCTGCTCCAGGGTGTTTCTCCTGATCAGGACATGTCTGACTCTGTGGTTCTCCCTACTCCCCTCCCTTTGCTGGGCCCCTCCTCTCACAGATCAGCCCTGAAACTCCTCTCTGTTCCCCCAAACACAACTCCCCTTTCCCTGCTCTCTGCAGACTCCCAGGCTGGGGCAGCCCCAGGATTGTCTCTGGGTCTCCCAAACCGTCTGAGACCCCTGAAGCCCCTCCAGACCCCCTGCCCAGCCAGACTGCAGCCTGAGCACAGCTCACCCTGAAATTCTCGGGGTCCACGTGCAGTTTGTCACAGTGGAGCTTGCTCAGCTGAGCAAAACACTTCTTGATGCTGTCCAGGTTCTTGACAGCTTCCCCGAAGGAGGTGAGCACCTTCTTGCCGTGAGCACGGACCATGGGGTTGCCAAGGATGGCAGTGGGGCTGGACAGGTTCCCAAAGGAGGCAAAGAACCTCTGGGTCCAGGGGTAGACAATCAGCAGCCTGGGGACAGACAGACAGAGAGACGTCAATGTTCTCATGTTGAAGTGGTTTGTCCCTCCAGGAGCAGCTGAGCAGGTGCCTGGAGCAGAAGGACCTACCTGGCCAGAGCCTCAGCACCACATTCTGCAGCATCCACCTTGGCCCAGAGGCCAGTGATGAGCTGCTTCTCTTCAGCTGTCCAGTTGACCATGGTGAGAGCAGAGGCTTTGCTGGGGCTTCCCTGCCAATGCCGTGGAGGAGGAGGTGGTGCCTGAGGCTGCCCCCCGGATTTTTATACAGCTCAGCCTAATCTCAGCTCCCGGAGCTGCTGCTGGGGCAGGGAGGGAGGGAGGCTGCACAGGGAAAGATAGTGGACTTGGATGCTGTCCAAGGGGAAATGAGGCCCTTTGCCCCCTCTGCTCAGAGGGGACAAGCATCATCCCAGCACAGGGGGAGCTGCTGGTGCTGCTTCTGCCCAGCCCAGAGCTCCCAGGTTGTCCCAGCTCACCCTGTCCCTGCAGGCAACATTGGCCCATCCTGGCAAGTGACTACTTCAAAGTGTTTTCCATATAGAATCATGGAATCACAGCCTGGTTTGGGCTGGAAGGACCTTAAGCACCATCTTGTTCCTCTGCCCTGGGCAGGGACACCTCCCACCAGCCCAGGCTATTCCAAGCCCCATCCAATCTGGCCTGGAGCACTCCCAGGGATGGAGCAGCCACAGCTGCTCTGGGAACAGCCAGAGAGCATCTCCAGCAGTTGACTCAGGCAGTTAATAGCTGAGACAAGGAATAACCATGAGTTTAAACTCCCTGCAAACGACTTCCAAAGGCTTGTGTGTTTGAAGATTAGGGAGCCATGGAGCTGTGTGAAGGGAAGCTGCTCTATGGGCAGGCTTAGAGGCTCTTAGCAAGAGTCAAGCAGTGGTGTGTACCACCACCAGCAGCACCAGCTCCTGGTCAAACAGATCCAGCCCTGAAAGTGCTTGTGAAGATGTCAGGGTGACCAGGACACCATGAGCATTTGCTGTGAGCAGCTCTCTGTGCTGTGAGACCTGGCACAAACCAAACAGCCCAGCACAACCAGTACCACCCTGTGCTGAGCCTGAGCCCTTGAGCATCCTCCATCTGGCTATGCCTGTGGTGTGGGTGGGAGACCTAAGTCATAGGATCAGAGGATGGTTTGGGTTGGAAAGGATCTTCAGGATTATCTCATTCTACCCCCTGCCACCAGCAGGAACATTCCACTCAACCAGGTTGCTCCTGATGTCTTGGCCACACACTTGTCCACTTCCATGAACAGGAACCTTCCTTTTCAGACCTAAACCACCCAAAGGCAGCCCCAGTGAGGCCTCTCTGCCTTCAGCAGGGTTTATGGGTCAGTGATTGCAGCAGGCAGAGTCCCAGCCAAGCTCTGCACAGCCTTATCAGTACCAGTGGCATCCGTGCCCAGACTCTTCTGCCCTGGAGCCAGGCCAGGCTCTGCTCCCTGGGACACACAGAGCCTTTTGCCTGAGCCCAGCAGGGCTCAGGAGGCTGTTCCCACTGCAGAACACCAGAGTAGTTTGGGTTGGAAGGACCTTACAGCTCATCCATTCCCACCCCCTGCCCTGGGACACCTCCCATCAATCCAGGTGGCCCCAAGCCCCATCCAGCCTGACCTGGAGCACCCCCAGGGATGGGAAATTCTGTACACAGTGTGCAGCAAGCTCAGAAGACTGGATGGGTTGGGACTGGGACTGGGTGTGCTGGGACATGCCCATCACTGGTTTACAGACCGTTACCCTCCAATGTTCCCCTGGAGTTGTGTGTGTGAGGGACTCCCTAGCGTGGCTTTGTGCCTGGAGCACTGAGCCCAGCAGGGAAGAGCAGCAGATGCCTGGGAGAGCCCCAAGAGCCAGGAGGAGCAGCCTGGCCCTCCTGGCTGCCCCTCTGGAGCATGGAACTCCAGTTGCAGGGCCCATCATCATGCCCTGTCCTCCCTCCCTCCCACCCCACAGAGACACAGAGCACAAAGAAACCCAGAAGATGTGGATTTTATTGCCTGTCCCAGGTGCAGCTGCCCCAGGGACTTCAGTGGTACTTGTGTGCCAGGGCATGGGCCACCACCCCCACCAGCTTCTGCCAGGTGGCCTGGCAGGCAGGGCTGAAGTCCTTGGTGAAGTGAGCAGCTAGCACGATGACCAGGATGTCTCCCAGGAGCTGCACAGGGGAGGGAGGGAGGCATCAGGTCAGCAGAGTGCTGAGCACCCTTCACTCTGCACAGCACCCCAGGACCAGGACCAGGGGCTCAGCTCCCCAGTAGGTCCTAGAGTTGTGACCCAGGGAAGGTCACAAGATGCTGAGTCCTCTGTCAGGACCACAGACTGTGCTGCCTGTGTGCACCAGTACCACCTGCCCTCGCTCTGCTCCCTCTCACACCTTCATTTTCCAGCCTCTGGACATTATTTACAGGCATTTTATGGGGTTTCTCTCTTTCTTTATCTCCCTGCTGTGAGACCTCACCCCTCCCTGAGCAGCGAGGCAGTGCCAGGTCTACCTGCTCCATCCCCAAGGTCAGGCTTTCAGGCTTAGCCAGAGGCTGAGGCAGAGCCCACCTCCAGCTCCATCCAGCCCTCCCAGCCCCTTCCAGCCTGATCTGCTGCTCTCCCTCGGTGACTTCCCCCCCCCTGCAGCCTCACTCACCTCTGGCTTCACTCCCCTCCTGCTCCCACTGCTGACTGTCCCCACGCTCAGACCTCTCCTCTCTGTGTCCATCTCCTCCCACCAGTGTCCAGCCCTGACCCATCCCACACTTGCTTTTCCCTCTCCTCCCACAGCTGCAGTGGGAAACAGTGATCCCCAGCAAAGTGCTGCCCATCCATGGGGCAAGAGGTGCTAGGGGAGACTTCCCCTCACTCTCAGGCCCATCAGCCTCCAAATGTCCTCCCTCTTTTCTCAGCCACAGCTGCACAATTCTCAGGGTTTCAGAGCTTCTCCCTGGGTTTGGCCCCAGATTTGTCCTTGCAGCCTGGGATTTCCCTGCATTGCCACGTGCCCAGCCTCTCCCTCTCCCCCACTCCCATCCCACACAGACCTTCCCATTTGGTAGCTAAGATAGAAGTGATTTCTGCCCCTCCAGACTCCCCAGGGGCTAAGGAGTTCTGAGGAAGGAGGAAGAGACTCAAGCCCCAAGCATAGCTCACCCTGAAGTTCTCGGGGTCCACGTGCAGCTTCTCACAGTGCAGCTCAGACAGCTTGGAAAAGGTTGCCTTGAGGTTGTCCAGGTTCTTGACAGCCTCCCCGAAGGAGGTGAGCACCTTCTTGCCATGTGCTCGCACCTTGGGGTTGCCGATGATGGCAGTGGGGCTGGACAGGTTCCCAAAGTCAGCAAAGAACCTCTGGGTCCAGGGGTAGACGATCAGCAGCCTGGGGAGAGAGGGAGGGACAGAGACACATCAGAGCTCCCTGCTGTGCTCTGTGTCTCCAGGAGCAGCGGAGCAGGAGCCCCGAGCAGGACCCACCTGGCCAGGGCCTCGGCGCCGCATTCCTCCACGTTCACCTTGCTCCAGACGCTGGCAATGAGCTGCTTCTCCTCGGCTGACCAGTGCACCATGGTGCCACGGGCTCTGGGGGTGCTGCACAAGGCTCTGGGTGCTGCACAAGGCTCTGGGTGCTGCGGGAGGACACAGACCCTGTGCCTGAGCCCAGAGCCCACCCAGGCTTTTATCCCCTGCCCCAGCTCCTCCCCAGGCCATGGGACGGGGCTGGGGGTCCCCAGGGGGGTCAGGCTGGCTGTGGTCAGTGTCCAGCGAGGTGTGGTCATTGAGGAAAGAGCCCTGGGAGGCCTTAACAGGCTGCTCAGAACACTCTTATCTCGCTCTCCATCCCCCAGGGCTGCTCAGCACAGCCTTGGCCATGCCACCCCAGCCCTGCCAGGGGCTTTGGAGTCATGGAATCATGGAATGAGTTGGGATAGAAGGACCTTAAAGCTCATCACATCCC